ACTGTACAATAATATGACCATCTGTGGCGAGGTATTCTGTATTGAAGTCGACTTGTATAACCTGACTCTGACATCGATATCAGCGCTTAACATTGTCGTCTACATTTTTATCAATCATCCCAACAACCCAACCATGGAATCCTTCGATATAGTCGAGAAACCTTTTCTAGTCCTGTCATACTTAAAATTCTAGAGCTTCTATTGAGTTTCGTCCAAAAGAAGCTCTTTCGGTGCTCAATCCCTGTATCTCAGAAAATTGCCTCTAGTCTTTTTGACTCGAGGTACGGCCACGATAAGAGAGGGGTTACGTTAGTGCAACAGAATAACTGAAACAACATCGGGATATTTAAGCTTTACTGGTTTTGACCGATTTTTGGGCGTTTTCTGATGTTTCACCTTAACATATAGTGGCCAACACTAATATCTAAATGAAAATGTTTATTTTCAAATATGGTAATTTTCACCAAAACACAAATAAAATTCGTATTATTTCAACATCCTATGACTACACATGCACCGATGTCACACTCATAAACAACATCTTTGTATGACGTCATAATCAATAATTCGTTGTTGATTTTTTAGTTGAAAGTGTCTGGGCCTATGTGTAGTTCCCCACACTAGTATCACAATATCACAGATGTTGCTCCTGTCCTCTTGACGACTACCAGTCAAACATAACAAAGATTAAACGGCATATCCTAAATGAAAGTGAAGTTCATCTCGGGGGATATTTATCACTTACCTATACTGATTAGGACAAGCTGTGTGCGTGGCGACCAGCTGTGCTTGTGATCAAAATAATATGCATTTAAGCCCAGACAAAACATCAGCAGACGTACTGGAAATACCTGTGTACATACGGGCTCTCGACATGTGTAAGACATACATCTACATCTTTAGAGGCTTGCTGGAAGTCAGGTATCTTACAAATATATGTTGTTACATGGATCTAAATAGTATGTTTTTAGCTTGGAAAAATCCAGTTTTTGCTTTTGACCTGTAAACTGTTTGTAAGGTTGTAGATTGTACATTATATTGATCCACGATACGTTTACAGATACAGAAAATGATGTTAACCTTCAAGAAATTCTACCATATTATAATACTCCTCATGTCATCAAAACGTGTCTTTTCTAAATAATAAATATTGATAATTGATTTTATGGATTGTGTTACCTTTAGACTCGGTCTTGAATGTGCGGTCATTTTTAACACTGACATGAATTTATTTTGAATAGATGTTTAACGGAAGGCAACTCTAGTCGCAGAGATTAGGGATTAGATACGTCCTGCACATATTACAATACTCGACTAAATTTCTTTGAACGATGCATCGTCTCCTTGTGGGAACCAATTGCATTTAAAACAAATTAAGATTTTATGTTTAAACTGTGTTGACTTCAGTCATTGTGACGACAGACGAGGTTACTTAAACGTCATGTTATTACACCATGCTGTGACATTACTGGCCGGCGCCATTTTGGCTCATTACTATCATAATTTCATCATTCATCTTTTTTTCTTTCGGAGGTCCTACAGCCTTGAATGAAAAACAAAATAATGCTTTCTAACAATATTTTAAAATTTAATTGATTTATTGTTTTGTCAAAATGCACGTGTGTCGTCCGTCGTGCGTAAACTTTTTACATTTTCAAATTCTCCTCAAGAACCACGTGGATAGATTTGTTTTCAAACTGGTTCAGAATCATCCTTAGTAGATGAGGCTACAAAATTGTAAAATTAGGATTCCTACCCCAACCCCTGGGGCCAGGGCGGGGCCCCAAAGGGAAAATTAACCAATATTTCAAAAATCTTCTTCTCCAGACTCAGAGGTACTACAGTCATTTTCCCTGCATGGAAAGAAAGATCATCGGGGGCTTTATTTAAATTGTAAATTTCAGGACCCCGAGCTATCCGTTCTCCCTTGGGGAGGGGTAAAGTTTACTATAGTTTATATAGGGAAATAACACTTTCGGGTACATTTTATCCATGTTTAGCAGAAAATTACTCAAACTTAGTCAGAATCATCCTTGGTGAATGAGGGTATTACATTGTAAAAATGGGATTCCTACCCAATCCCCAGGGGCTAGGGCGGGGCCCAAAACGGAACATTTACCAATATTTGCAAATTCTTATCCTTTGATGACATGACAAGTATTGTATTTCACTTAGTTTACATGCTGATTTCCACATCACATCTAAATTTACATTTTACTTACAGTTCACGCAGAAATAAAGACATAATATAAGTCTGAACACGTTTCAACGTCAGGGTAAATCCAGATAGAGAACAGCCACCAGTTGACAGTGGAGCAGCACACTCACCAACGTTGCAGTTATGACGTCATAAGCATAGCGATGTCACAATAGCCCCCCAATATTATGTTATACGGAAATAACATACATTGGGTCCGATAGAAACATCTAGGTTCTGTGCAGTGGATATGTAAATATTAGAAGATAACACGAGAACTGCCATCACTGTTTTTTTATATTAATATACCAACAACGTCACAATGGACAGACGTCCCTCAAAAGGTTATTAGCAGAGAGGCCGCGTGCCTTATATGTTGTCAAATCTGACATAGTTATCATGTGAACTGTCACCAACTTCATCCCCTCAATCATTAGGTATTATGTATCTCAAAAGATAATCCGAAAACCACCGATAATATCATAGTATGTGAATACTAAAAGCAAACACAAAATTACAAAACCACTAAGATATTCATATATTTTATGTAATAATGACAATAGGTCATAGGCCATCTTTCGGGAGAAAACACGTTTAAAAAGGAAAATAATGAGCTCATCAAAAATGAAAACAAAGTTATCCGTATTAAAAAGAATATTTTCCGAAATAAGTATGAACATACACCGTTAAAAACCAAAGGTGCTAGTACTTAAGTTTCTTTCTTATGGTGTAAATTGTGTTGATTAAGCAACACAGCTTTAGGTATTGTTAAAACGTCATTAGGTCCTACCTTGTACACGCAGAAAGGTTTTGAATGCATTTCAGGTCAATACTCAAAAGTTGTAGGTTTTTATATGTAACATAGGTCATTATTTTTCCAATGCCTACGCTAGGAGTCGAACCCGGGACCTCTGGCTTACTAGTCTTACGCTCTACCGAATTAGCTAAAGAGAAATTCTTCCCATACGAGACGGTAAGAAGAGGCTAGTATTTTACCAAGGTGACATATATTGGAACAATAGTTTCATAGCTACCTGTTCGATACGGTAACTGTTTTGGAACATGCCTTAGATATGTCAGGCACAGTTCTTTGTTAACATTACCTAGCAGGTCACAAAACCAAGATTAAAATTCAGTTAAACAAATTCTAAGAAAACATTTACTCAATACAGAATATGTCCAATCTTGAAGATACGCAAATAATTTGAAGCAAATCGTACAACTGAATAAGCAACATTTACAAAGTTGTTTCTGAAAGGCGATGGCAGGGAACGATGGAAGGGATTGTTTGATTAAATAAACGCTGTTTGAAAGCCTCAAATGCGTCCGACCAATCACAGCGTAAGGAAACAAGATGGCTGTCACTTATTTGACGTTTTATATATTGCCTTTGTACGTGTCTGATATTCGTGACTTTTGTTTTGTTGTTTTCTCGGATATATGTTGTGACGTCAAAACAAACCGGCGATAACCTTAATCTTAGTCATCATTTTCAGACAATCAGTAAGGTCTTTCTAAAATTTGTCCACACTTACAACGTGAAGTTTTGAACATTATGTTATGTGACAGTATGTTATTTCTGTTCGGCAAATTATTGAAGAGCTTGTCTTTGAGCATATTACTACGCATGCGCTCATTCCTGTCTGTGTACTCACACTGTATTGTTATGTACATGATGTCTAGACTCCTAAACTTTTTATGTCATTACCAACACAATGACGGCTTTCTGACAACGCTTATTGAATGAATCTCCTCGAAACATTTGCATATGCTGTGTCATCGATTGCGTTTTTCCAGCATCAGTAATACCAAAGTCAGCGGGGCTCTATCAGATAAAGTGAGGATACTATTCATGAGTTGGTGTAAACTATAATCCTGTTCTGATTTACATGAAAGCATGTCAGCAGTGACGTCGCCTCGTACATATCTAACACGCGGCTGCTCTATCTATGTACAGTTTTAAGAAGCACGAGTTGTTCCCTATCATGCTGCACAAAAGGTTGATGCACAGACTACTTTGTCTGCTGGCGCGGATCATTTCTAGATTATACATTGTGTCACGATCATTAGTAAGATAATCGTAGCGTGCGTTACAGCTTTGGAATCCAATTAATAGATTTGACACATGCCACATGGTCTGTATTGTGACCTGTCTTACATTGAGTCATGTTAATTCCACTATACACCTGTTTCAGACAATGTTGTTGAACCATCGCCGGTATCTATGTTATTTCTCTGAGTGACCCGTTACTGGCGAACTGCACGATGTGACATTGAGAAAGCATTTATACTTATAAGTAGTTCGGCTGTCATACTTCTTGACCAGTAGTACTCGCGCGTTGTTGCTTGGAGACAAATAACAACATCTCTGTATTTCCTGCTAGCAATCGCGTGTATAATAAAATAGATACTTACGTGTAATAGCTACCCGTATTCGTTAAAACAATGTATGAAATTATGATAGGTTTATTTTTTGTTAATACAAGCGTAGATGGGAAGATTGTTTTTCACACGTGACTCGACAATTTAACCCCCCTCCCTGAAAAAATATTGATTAATCAGTGTCTGAGGCGTTGAGTCAGAATTAGCAAGGGTTTCACTGAACTAAGTGTACAGCAAAACCTTCCATAATTGGTTATCGAGGGACGTTGTCTAGATGTCGTAAATATATTCGAGAAAATATGTGACACATTATATTAGATTAGAAATAAAGAAATTATAATTCACATCATTTTTTTAATTTTACGCTCAGCTTTCGTCGTATTGCTGATCGTTTAATACTTAATTGACTTGTTACTTTCAGATGCACTTCGCCCACCACGTGACTTGAGGGGCTCTGTAAGGGAGACCACCACCCGACTGTCGTGGGATGTAAATCGAACAGAAGAGGAGTATGGTTTGATCCACTATTTCCAGATAACGTATGAAATTGTAGACCCCCATCAAAACTTCTTACGGATCACGCATAATATCGATGGGATAAAGAGACATTTTACCTTAAGGGGTCTCGTACCACAGTCAACATATAAAACATTCATGGTGACGGTCGGCAGCGGAGAAGTCAGCAATGCTAGTGACACTGTCGAGTTCTCCACAGCCTTACCAGAAGGTACGTATACCTCGTGTATCCTCAGCTTCTCTATCTCTGTATTGTATTGTTCATTGTGAGTTGGCCCTACAAAACATCATTGTGCGTCTTTAAAGCGTCATTTGCATAATATATACGGTTTTGTAATAGTAACGGTCGTAAACGATTTTAGTTACAACTCGGCTAGGAAAACGTTATCATATTAGAGTACTGGCCCCATATTCAACTGGAGAAAATAAGTTTTGTTTCTGACGAAGTTGTAGTTTTCAGAATAATTGTTTTTGTCCTCATCCAATGATCTCTGGAATACCATGGAGGCAGTGATGAACTTAACAGGTAACGATCTGTACTTATTTTAGCCATTAGTCTGCTGTTCTTAAGCCGTTTCCATGATTCAGCGTACAATAGACAAGTTAACTGCGTCTGATATTTGATGGAAGCAAGATTTAATATTTAAAGGATAAAGAAAGAACGCATTATTATGATTGAACAAAAACAGCTGAGGAAAGTAAGACTGTTGTGCAGATATCCTTCTCCAATCTGATTACCTCATATCCCAGTAAAACCACGTGTCTGGCGAGACCTTTACCCCCATATGTGTTCTATTAGCGTACCTGTCCTTAACCATCAAATGTTTAACATGACGACAAAGATCCGTTTCGTCTGAGAAGTTGTCTTGGCAACCTGGCTGGCGACATTGTTTTTACTTTTAGATATTTCCGGCTGTTGGTCTTACGTTTTCTCTGCCAACGTAGCTGATGAGATTTAAAATAATTCATTTTTAATGCATTGAAAGTATGCCATGATTGGGTCCCTTGGATCAGCACTTTTGTACAAAGACTATCCTCTCGCAGACGGGATGACGGGATCTCTTTTGACGTTTTGCTCATGTATCCGTTTTGAGTTACTGATGTAACCCATAGAAAAATCAGTAACATAGGTGAAATAATAATTTCTCCGCTCCGTTACAACATACATGCGCTCATTACTTTCAAACAGCCAAAACAATTTACACGCATGCTACAGTTTACAAAACTATTTCTACGATGTTATAAATTGTATTTAAATAAACACTATTTCATGCTGGTAATGTAAAGCAACATTTCCTCGGGTCGCTTAGGCCTAATGTTAGTGCCCGTAATAATAAAATCTCTATATTCCGTTCTTATTGTGATTAAATTTATCGCCTGCGCTTAATGATTTGTTATTAAATTGAAACACAATGGGTTTTTTTTTATATATATATATATACATTTAATAACCCAGGCATGCATGCATCATTCGTGGGTCGTCTGGAGATGGGCTGCCCCAGCTTCGACCCACAATACATGAAACACTCTCTATTTTTTTTTCTTCACAAATTAACACTTGTTCATTTCTTTCTCTCTCACTTTTTCACACTCTCATACTGTAATTTCCTCTTTTTTACCTCACTTTTTTACACTCTCGTATAACCCCTCCTCACACGGAGGTTTCCGGGTTCCTTAGCTACATGTATGTATTTTCATGCATTTCCGCTGAATGTTGTGCACATGGAGTGCGAAGGATTACTGAATGAATAAAAGTGGTAAATGTTGGTTATCACTCAGATATCATACTCAGTTCTGCTTACGTCATATCCATGTAAAAGTATCGTGCCTGACAATAAGACACTTACCTTGAACCCTTTTTTATTGGCGTCCATGTTGTTAAATAGCCTAGGCGTACATGCTTGTAGGTATTTCTGGTGTCCGATCCGTTTACAAACACAGATGATCATTGTTAAAAGCCGGGTACCTGTTAGATCATACTCCAAACGTCATTGGTATATCTACCCATTAGGCCATCATCAACATGACATTACAATATGCAAATGTCTTTGGGTAAAGAACACGTTTTCTACGTGTAAAACACACCAGCTTTAGCCGAGGTAGCACGGTGGACATACCAATAGTGTTAACGGTTTCTGTTATATCTTCTGGATATTTTTGTATTCACCTTGTTATTTGCTTGCCGTTATTTTAGTTGTTTATTTATCTTGTTAATTGTTAATTGACTTTGTAATGAAAAACTTTCCTTGTTAATTGTTATTAACCTTTTATTAACTTATTTTCTTAGTTAGATATCAATTTACATTGTTAATTATTTATTTTACTCGTTCATTGATTGTAGATATAAATATCATTCCTGTTTTCTTTACTGTGTTGGCTGAAAGAACATAACAACAAATGTAATTAGATCGAGTGTATTGATGAAACAAAGCCAGTTTCTTAGGGTAAACATTTTCCCCATGTTTCACTTGAGACATATTTAATATGTATGCAGTCCATGTAATGCAATAGGAGAAATGTTGATTATTTATCAAAGTAGCTGTTCCCGAGGTCAAAGTTCAAAAATCTGATCTCGTACCACAATCTGTCCAATTGCTTCATCGATTAAGTGTTGAGTGTTCAAGCCATGATTACAGAGATAGTGGAAACGCTGTGTAATAGTGGAATGTACGTCTAGTACCTGTTGTTTATATCGAAATACCGATATACATGTTTACTGCGAAAGGACAGGTTGTGATTTGGCCTACAAAGGCCCGTATGCTTCTGCACATATTCTTTTGGCGTCACATCATAATTAACGTTCAGTAGCAGTCCTAACAATGTCTTATCACAGACTAATGTAGATGTGAAAATATACAGACCAGTCAGATGTTAATAACATATTTGTTTAAAATCCCTTCTCCCTTACAGAAGGATATTATGAATTATTCCCATTTCTATAAAATCAAATACTGACAAAGTTAAAGTCGTTCTGTAGTTGACATTTTACTTTTTTACCAGTTCCGTTTGGCCTATACAGACGTTTGGATTTCGTCCTTGACTAACACAAGGCAAGCGAGCTGAATCATCGAAATTCCGCTACAGAACGCTGTTGGCTTCGATATTTTATTAATAATGAAGGCGACAGCAAAACAAGCACACTATTCCTTTTCATTTGCCATAAAAAGATTCCATCTGACAGAAACATAAATTGTATTGAGCTATAGCAGTGGATAGAGAAAAATGAATACGTTTTTATGCCGATATCCCTCCTTTTGTCTCTCTATCCCACATAGACTGGCGAAGGTCAGAAATAATGGGAGTTGAATTATTCAGATGGCGACCGGGGAAGTAGATACCGGAAGATTATGTCAGACTAATGCAACATCTATATTGCGTATTTGGCCTTACTATGCTTGTACGTTTTAACGGGTTCCCCCAAGTTTATCGCGTTTGAGGTCGAATCACAGTGTGGTTGACACTTCCCCAATCCCTTTTTTGTTTTAGAGAGAAAGGTTCCTTGCTTAACTGTTGCTACGTACACAAGCGAATACTTAAAGCGTTGTCTTAGGATATGATTCTTCAATCATCCTGCTTTGATAGATGGTGTGGGTGTATTATGGTGGATCAGTTCACAATGATTCTTCAATCATCTTACTTTGATAGATGGTGTGGGTGTATTATGGTGGATCAGTTCACAATGATTCTTCAATCATCTTACTTTGATAGATGGTGTGGGTGTATTATGGTGGATCAGTTCACAATGATTCTTCAATCATCTTACTTTGATAGATGGTGTGGATGTATTATGGTGGATCAGTTCACAATGATTCTTCAATCATCTTACTTTGATAGATGGTGTGGGTGTATTATGGTGGATCAGTTCACAATGATTCTTCAATCATCTTACTTTGATAGATGGTGTGGATGTATTATGGTGGATCAGTTCACAATGATTCTTCAATCATCTTACTTTGATAGATGGTGTGGGTGTATTATGGTGGATCAGTTCACAATGATTCTTCAATCATCTTACTTTGATAGATGGTGTGGATGTATTATGGTGGATCAGTTCACAATGATTCTTCAATCATCTTACTTTGATAGATGGTGTGGGTGTATTATGGTGGATCAGTTCACAATGATTCTTCAATCATCTTACTTTGATAGATGGTGTGGATGTATTATGGTGGATCAGTTCACAATGATTCTTCAATCATCTTACTTTGATAGATGGTGTGGGTGTATTATGGTGGATCAGTTCACAATGATTCTTCAATCATCTTACTTTGATAGATGGTGTGGATGTATTATGGTGGATCAGTTCACAATGATTCTTCAATCATCTTACTTTGATAGATGGTGTGGGTGTATTATGGTGGATCAGTTCACAATGATTCTTCAATCATCTTACTTTCATAGATGGTGTGGATGTATTATGGTGGATCAGTTCACAATGATTCTTCAATCATCTTACTTTGATAGATGGTGTGGGTGTATTATGGTGGATCAGTTCACAATGATTCTTCAATCATCTTACTTTGATAGATGGTGTGGATGTATTATGGTGGATCAGTTCACAATGATTCTTCAATCATCTTACTTTGATAGATGGTGTGGGTGTATTATGGTGGATCAGTTCACAATGATTCTTCAATCATCTTACTTTGATAGATGGTGTGGATGTATTATGGTGGATCAGTTCACAATGATTCTTCAATCATCTTACTTTGATAGATGGTGTGGGTGTATTATGGTGGATCAGTTCACAATGATTCTTCAATCATCTTACTTTGATAGATGGTGTGGATGTATTATGGTGGATCAGTTCACAATGATTCTTCAATCATCTTACTTTGATAGATGGTGTGGGTGTATTATGGTGGATCAGTTCACAATGATTCTTCAATCATCTTACTTTGATAGATGGTGTGGATGTATTATGGTGGATCAGTTCACAATGATTCTTCAATCATCTTACTTTGATAGATGGTGTGGGTGTATTATGGTGGATCAGTTCACAATGATTCTTCAATCATCTTACTTTGATAGATGGTGTGGGTGTATTATGGTGGATCAGTTCACAATGATTCTTCAATCATCTTACTTTGATAGATGGTGTGGGTGTATTATGGTGGATCAGTTCACAATGATTCTTCAATCATCTTACTTTCATAGATGGTGTGGATGTATTATGGTGGATCAGTTCACAATGATTCTTCAATCATCTTA